AGCTGTCCTTCAGGAAGGGGACACTTATTGGGAGGTTATAGCAATCATTCAAAGACGCTATAATAATATTATGAATTATGAGTTCTGAGGACCCAGGTTAATTCAAGGGTGCTAATCGGGGCTTTTATCTCTCTCTCTCTCCCCCTTCCAGCTTTCCTCATCTTTTGATAATTCTGGGTCTTCTCAGAGCTAAGGTATGGAGAATATGTATGTCTGTTATAAGGTGGGACAGATCCATGAGAAAGCTTTTTTAAAAACTATCACAAGACAGGCAGGAGACTGCAGGAAGCAGGGATTGCCAGGTGACTTTGAAAGGAAGGGGGTGGGAAGGGTCCCAGTAGTTTTTGATTTTGTTTTTGTTTTCCTTTTTTTCTGGTGGCTGGCCACTATAGGGATCAAACCGTGGACCTTGGTGTTATCAGCACCATGCTCTAACCAAATGAGCTAACCAGACAGCCCTCCTGGTGGTTTTTATTTTGGTCTACCAGTTCTTTGGTGTATATGGTGGGATAAGGATGGGAGTGCACACATTGGAAATAGGAGTTATTTAAAAGTTTAACCCAGAATCCCCCTCAGATTGAATTGAGGATGAGAAAGGCCTCAAGACCCTGTGTGGGATTGTATGGGATTCAGGATCCTTGGGCTACCCTTGACATTGAACCATAAAGTCCACCAGACAAAAACTCCCTCAAGCCCTTCAGCCTATGTGACCCTTATTTGCTATAATCTTGGTTAAATTACTCTTTGTTCCTCTTCTCCACCTCGCATTCACAGATATTTATTTAAAAAAAAAAAAAAGGTCAAGGAGGTTAAGTCACTTCCCCTTTCACAGGGTTCTGATTTTAAAAACATGTAGACAGATAATGCTGCGGTATATAACATTGTGCTTCTATTGAAAGAAGTTTCTTCCCTTGTGATATTATTTAAAACCACTTTGCATTCTCATTCGTTCATTCATGTACAGTGGTTCCCCCTTATCCATGGTTTCGCTTTCCACAGTTTCAGTTACCCATAATACAATACAATATTTTGATATAGAGAGAGTCCACATTCACATAACTTTCATTACAGTATACTGTTATAATTGTTCTATTTAATTATTAGTTATTTTTGTCAATCTCTTACTGTGCTTAACTTATAAACAAAACTTTATCATAGATATATATGTGTAGAAAAAGAATAGTACAGTATTTATAGGGTTTGGTATTACTTATAGGGTTTGGTCTCAAGGTTTCAGGCATCCACGGGGGTCTTGGAATGTACCCCCTGCAGATAAGGGGGGACTACCACATTCCTTCCCAACCATGCATTGAGAGATAAATAGGGTATGAAATGAGACCCTACATGCAGGGCCAATATTTAGACGGTAACCTCAGGAAGGCCATCTGCAGCCTTTGTTAGTTCTGATTGACAGGGCCTGCAACTTGCAGGGTGTTAAAACTTTTGATTATTTCCCCTGCCTATCTGCCAGGGTAGTTTTCTGCATTTGTGAACCCTAGAGCGCTCAATTAGTACAAAAGAGTGAAGCAAGGTCAGGGATGGACAGAGCCTGGATTGCAGTCAAGAGACAGGGACAAAGGCCCAAGTTCTAGCCCTGCTACAATCTATCTTTGTGTGACCTTGTGCACATCACTTCTTTCTCTGGGAATCAGCTTCTCAGTAGGCAAAAACACGTATGGCCTGGTACCACTTTTGTAAAAGAAAACAGTATGTGTATTTGTGTCTGGGTGCATACGTGCATGCATGGAAACATGTCTGGAAGGATATACACCCGCCTGTTCACAGTGGTTATCTCTGGAGAGCACAACTGGGTGAAGGAGATTTTTTGACTTCATAGAACTTCTTTACTCTTTTAACTTTCCATAACAAGCAATTTGTGGTAATTTTGAAATTGAATAGCTAAAAGGTCCTATTTGTCCCTGTCTGCAGGAAATCACACTTCTTACGGGAGGTCACATGGGGGTTCAGTGTCTGACTCTGAAGGCTGTCTTGCCTGCATGTTCCTTAAGCTGCTTTTGAACAATTGGGGGATGTGAGTGCTCAGCATCAATTGACCCCTCCTCATCTCCAGGCCTCAGCAAATGCTGCCTAGGAGTGGTAACAAAACATCCTCACAGAGTTTTCCTTGCCCTCCTCCTGCTGGCATCTGATCCACTTCAGCAAATGTTTCGCCACCACTCAGCCAAAGCGTGTTTATCTTCTCTTGGATCCACGGCTATGAAATGCCCACAGACTTGCCCCAGGTTCTGGTAAAAAGCTGCAACCAAACAGGATGAATTCCCAGACTCCTTTGGATTTACAATGCCATGAGGTGTCTATTCTTAGGTCAGGAGGCTAGGGGACTGAGCAGGACATGGGGAAGCTGCATGATTACTGGTCCCTGTCATAGGAAGGAATGCCAAGAGGGAGGAAAAAAAAAAACTTGTTTTCCCGGAAAACAGCTTTCTTTCCAGCAAGTAATCCATTCCAAATTACGTTACAGTAAATTAGTCACACTTTTAATAAAAGAATGTAAAAATAGAGATTGGAAGGAACCACTGGATTGAAAGAGCACCAGGCTTTGGAATCAGACAAATCTGGGTGCAAATCCAGACCTTGAACAAGTCAGTTAACACACTTCACTGCAAGAACATTCCATTCTGTGCCAGGCACTCTGCCGGGCATTTTATATCCAACAGCTCAAGCCTGGGGAGATTTGTATTATTCTCATCATGTGATAGATGAGAGAGGTAGGACGCAGGCAAGAAAGCCATGAGAGTGGGAAGTTTCAACTGATGAAATGATACCGCCCAGATTCCAATTCAGATATTGACAAGTCAAGACCAGCACCCGTAACTCTGGACGGTGCTGCCTTTCCCCATACATGGTGGGGACAGACGCTTTTCCAGCACACTGCCGTGACCAGGTCTAACCAGAAGTAATCGCGTATGCCCTTTCCATGAGCATTCTTTAACTGCAAATGCCCTAGTGTTACCGGACCTAGAATGCCAGGTTCTTTGGGAGTCAATGTCATAGAAATGAACACTGAACCTATAGGGAGAGTGAACAAGCTATTCATTGAAAGATAGCCTGTGCACAGGAATACCAACACAAAAGAGGAGTGTTGCTCTTCAAGCATTTAGTGTGAGGGTTTTTTTAAGGCAAAAGAGCTGGGTAGGAAGCTTGGGAAAGAGGGTGAGATCTCTGATCTCACAATTGGGGTCTTTGTCATTTGGTCACAAGGCGTTCTATCTTCAGCCTCAGCAGGTGGGGGCTAATGGGCTGATGGTTATCCTCCTCTGCAGGGGCCTTATCATTCTCTTGAGGCCTGTAAAAGAATGCTTACAGAAGGGGGTTAAGCAACCTTGGGTCATGACATATTTGTGGGAAGGGAACACACTGGCTAATGTAGGGCTTATCTTTAACCCCTGCCGTCCCTGGTGTTTCCTAGAGCAGGATGTGGTCTGTTGCCCCTGGGGTCTCTGCTGCATTTCCAGCACGTAGACTACTGTGGGGTTCTTGGTGTGGACAACAAAATGCAGTCTTTCTTGCCAGTCCTATCCTTACTCTTGCCTCACTAGGAGGGATAAAGTTAAGACCCTGATACTGAATAGAAAGTAGAAACACCAAGCACAGATCAGTGAATGGAAACTGTGCTTTGGCATCAGATGAACCTGGATTCCAATGCTGGCGCTGTACTGTGCTTGTGACCTTGGGCACGTTATATGACTTCTCTGGGTCTTGGTTTCCTAACGTGTAAGAAAGAGAATGGTAAAAGGTTAAAATCCAGGAAAAGAACCAGATGTTCTCACTTACAAGTGGAAGCTAAAAGTGAAAGAAGGAAGGAAAGAAAGACCACAGTAGTGCATTGGACTTGCAGAGGGAGAGAACATACCTAGGGTTGCCGGGTGGGCGGGGGAGGGAGATCAGGGAGAGGTTGGGGAAAAAAAAATCAAATATAAATTTTGTATTTCTACTATCTGGCATTGAAACATTTGACTAAACATAAAAAAAAAAAAATGAAACTAAGTACTTTTATAACATGTACTACATGCACTATAATTTTATGTTCTATCTCAATGAAATAAAATAAAATAAAAACACCCATTCTGAAAAATAAATAAATAAAATAAAATGCAATTATAAATCACCTGGGCCAGGGGCTCATTTAGAGCGGATGCTAGTCTCAGAGAAAGGGGGAGCCCCTAGAGGGCTCCAAGTAGAAGGAATAGGACAAGGAAAACCCTAAGGCCCAGACTGTTTGTGGGGTGTGCTAAGACTTCCTTGGGATGCCCTGCCCATGTACCAGGGCTCTGGAGCATTGGCATAGCCACCACACCTCACTGCTTGGAGCTGTCTTGAGTCTGCACCACTACAGAAAGGAGCTCCTTTCTAAATATCTGCTGAAGTCCTGCAAGGAAATCAGCCTGGAGTGAGTGTAACCTCCCAACCACCAGGCCTCACGGGCCAGCTGGTCAGGTGAAGAGAGGGGTCCAGGTCTCCAAGCCTGGGAGGTAAGCTGCTCCTGGATGTGTTCCTAGGCCAGCTCCTTGTTCAGTCTGAGCCCTACATTTGCAAATTACAATAGTCCTACTTTCAGCCTGTGGCAAGGATCAAGTGAGAGAATAAAAATACTAGGTGCTCAATACATGTGAACGTTTTCTTTTCTCCTCTTTTGTTTGGAGGACCCTCAGGCGGTGTGCGTTTCACTAGCCTGGGATCTGTCCAGGTATTACTCCCGTGGCTGTTTCTGATAAGGGATTTCCTTGCTATTCTTTGCTCTGAAGACTTCAAGGAGAGCAGCCTGGGAGGTGACTGCTCTTCGAGGAGGGGCTTGGGTCGGGCTGAGTCATTACCCTCTGGCTGGGAATATTTCAGCTAGCAGGTCACGGACTTCCCCTCAGTGATCCCGAGCTGTGGAGAAACTGAGGCGCAGCAGGCTCCCAAGGCGAAGCTCTCCTCCAGCCATGGCCCTGCGCCTTGCGCCCCTGCTGGTCCTGCTCTTGGCCGGTCAAGGCGGGATGGGGGAACCGGTAGCTCCAGGCTTCCAGGGCTGCAAGCAGGCACTGAACGTATCGGTGCTGGCAGCGCTGCCGGGGGGCGGCTGGGACAACCTGCGCAATGTGGAGCTGGGGCTGGTGCTGCGGCGCAACTACTCGCAGTGCCTCACCACGCAGGACGGCGAGTACCTCATCCCGTACCACGTGCACGTGGTGCCACTGAAGGAGAGCTTCGTAGAGACCCGTGCGGAGCTCATTGATCACTGGCTCAGCTACACGGACGCCTGGGCAGCCTCCATCAATGCCGAGCTCTCCTTCCTCTCCGACCTCAATGGTAAGTTCTCAGCCGACTGCCAGAACGTCAAGGTGTACAACCTGGAGTACCAGACAGTCACTGCCAGGGTGCAGGTCCGCCACCGCCTGTACTCTGTGAAGACCCCCGAGATCCCTGACTTCCAGCCCGCCTTCCGGCAGCATCTGCTGACCCTCAGCGACCACTTGGAGAACAACCAGACCCACGAGGCCGAGTACCTGGCAGAGATGCTTGTGCTCAGGTATGGCACGCACGTCCTCACCGAGGTGGAGGCCGGGGCCACCTTGGTGCAGGAGGACCAGGTAAGGCGGGAGCTGGTGGACAGTCAGGTCCGAGAGAAAAGCAACGTCACAGCAGCCGCCTCGGCCGTGTTCTTCCAAATGGTCAACGCCGGGGCAGCGGCCTCCTGGCAGGCACAGAGCCAGTTCATCCAGGACTACGTGAAGAACACGGTGGCCTCCAGGACGCGCAGCCATGGCGGCGGGCCCTTCTACCCGGGCATCACCCTCCGGAAGTGGCAGGAGGGCCTAGGCAACCGGCTGGTGGCCATCAGCAGGTTGGGGCTTCCCCTGCCAGCGCTGCTGGAACCCGCGGCGCTGCCCGAGCTCCCTGCGCCCGCGGCGCTACGCGTGGCTGCAGCCGTGCGCGGCGCCATCCGCCGCTACTACNAAAAAATGGCAGTTTTGTATGGTTTACTGAAAAAATGGTAGTTTTGTATGGTTTAAACTAATGTATACGTATTAATACACTGATCGCAATGTAAAGTATATTTGAGCTGTGGTCACAGTCAAAATACTTGACAGCCACTGTTTTCAGTGGATGCTCCATCAAACAGCTTTGGAAAACTCAGTTGTGATTCCTCACCCCTATATCTCACCCCCGTATTACCCTTGGAGGTCCTGTTTAGCTCAAGTAAGCCATAACAATTTGCCTTCTCTAACCCAAGGCAGGAATCTGCTGGGAAGGTGGATCAGTTTTGTAATGTTCTTGGAGCACAGGCCGTATCAAAACCTAACCTGAGAGTGTGAGTCTCCAATTGTCACAAGAACTAACTGAGGATGTCCCATTAAACCCTAACCTCAAAATCACAGTGCACGTAGGACCCAGGCCAAAAGGGCCCCAGGAGGCATGAATTTTCAGAGCCAACTCTGAAGGCAGTTGGAAAGACCCTAGGTGCTGTGGTAGAGAAGCACAGACTTATGGGGTTGACAAGAATCCCCTGACCTTCCAGATGACCCTAAGCATGTCATTTCACTTCGTGCTGTTTCAACTACTCTAGCTAAAAATCGGAATATACAAATTTATACTGTCTAGTACTTGCTTTGTTTAGAATTTGCCATTACCAAGATTATTTGGTTTAGTTCTTTGAAAATTAGTGATTTTAATTAGTCACTGAGAATATCCCTATTTCACCAGGAAACTGAAGCTCAGAGAAGTTGTCATTTTTACAGGATACTGCACTTAGCATAGCAGTAAAAGTATGGGTGTGGTCTGGGTCAAATACTGGTCTCTGCTAATTCCTTGGGCCTCAGTTTGATCCTCTATAAAATTTAACATATAAGATTCCTAGGTTATTTGAAAAGATTAAATGAACTAATGGTTTCAAAGCACTTTGGAACAGTGCCTGGCCTTTGTAAATGTGAAAGTTCAAATCTGTGAAGAGTGCTGCAATGAACATTGGGAAACAGGTATACCTTCGACTTGGATATATTCCTTTGGATATATTCCCAGCAGTGGGATAGCTGGGTCATATGGTAGATCTATCTTCAACTGTTTGAGGAACCTCCAAACCATTTTCCATAGGGGTTGCACCATTTTGCATTCCCACCAACAATGTATGAGAGTTCCTTTTTCTCCGCAACCACGCCAGCATTTATCTTTCAGNAGCTCCCTGCGCCCGCGGCGCTACGCGTGGCTGCAGCCGTGCGCGGCGCCATCCGCCGCTACTACTCGCTCAACGCGCACCCGGGCTGCGTGCGGCGCGGCGCACCCGCCTTCGACCCCCAAGCCAACGTGGACGACGGCTCCTGCGGAGACGTCAGCCGTGCCCAGTTCCCCTTCGGCGGTGTCTTCCAGGAGTGCGAGGCCGTGTCCGGGCAGGACGCCGGGCGCCTCTGCCAGGCCTACCGCATCCCGAACCCGCTCACTGGCGACGCCTCCTGTCCGGCCAACTACACGGCCAGCGCGCTGCACAGCACGTTAAAGACATGCAGCCAGCCCCGCCCCGAGTGCTGGCAGCAGTGTCGGAACTGCTGGCTCTTCTTCCAGTGCTGCGAGACCCTGTGCGCCACCCGCGAGCAGCGCAGCGTGGTGCGCCTGGCTGCCTCCTGGTGCGTGCCCTCCAAGGCCTCTCCGCCGCCGGCCGCTTCAGGCTTCCTCTTTGGGGGCCTCTATAGCCCTGGCAGCCCCAACCCGCTCACCAGGGCCCAGGCCTGTCCCTCCCACTTCTACCCACTGACGCTCTTTGGGGACTTCAAGGTGTGTGTCAGCAGCGACTTAGAGCTGGGTGCAGCCCAGGCAGTCCCCTTTGGGGGTTTCTTCAGCTGCCAGGTGGGCAATCCCTTGGCAGGCCTGCTGAAAGGCCAGAGCCCTGGTCTCCTGAAGGAGGTATTCTACAAGGACAGCCTCACGGACCACCCCATGAAGTGCCCGGCCGGGTACAGCCAACACCAGGCTTACCTCAGTAATGGCTGCCAAATTCTCTACTGCCTCCGGGCTGGGGTGCTGTTTGACCAGCAACAGACAGCTGTTCGAATGCCCCCATTTCTTCCCAAGCCTCTCTTTCTCAACAGCACAAGCTCCCACATGCTTTCTGTCCTGGCAGACTCCAGTGGTCAGCGGACCTGGGTGAGGCTGCAAGGTTCTGACCACTGGCAGCAGGCTAACAGCAATGACCCATCCCTGCTGGCTAAGCTCTTAAGCCAGGCTGGCTCAGGGCCCAGCAGCAGTGCCATTGCTGGTGCCTGGGTGGGCACCATAGTGGCTGTGGTGGCTGTTGTTTTGGGGGTATGCTATGGCTGCAGGTTCTACAAGAAGGGGGGCTACAGGAGGCTGCAGGAAGGCACCCTCATAGAAGATCAGGGGGGCTACGGGACCACTGAAACTACCACAGAGTCTGGCTCTGTCTGAGTACTCAGACGATGACAAAAATTCTGTCCAAACCTTAAAAACAACCAAACATCAAGTTGGTGGGTTAGCTCAGCTGTTCAGAGGGTTGTGCTGATAACACCAAGGTCTAGGGTTCAATTCCTGTACTGGCCAGCTGCCCTCCCCCCCCAAAAAAGACTGCTGCATCATTACAAATTAAAGCCTTAGCCCATTCTGTTTCTTCTATTACCTAGAAAAAAAGACACCCAACCACAAAATTGTCTCCACTCTCTACACTTTCTCAAACCCTCCTCTAAATCACCTAAGAAAAGCTGAAGTCTTCCCCTTCACTAACATCCTCTTGCTGAGAAGCCCCAAATTTCCCATAGAGTGTGTTCTCATGTTGGGCTGCCACCCATGTTGTAAAGAAGCCAATAAATCCAATTTTGGCAAATACACGCGTGTTCCTGGTAGTCTTTGGTAGAAAGGGGGGTCAATAGAGAAAACAGAATTTATGTTGACACCAGGACATATGATATAGCTTTTTTTTTTTTTTTTAAAGATGACCGGTAAGGGGATCTTAACCCTTGACTTGGTGTTGTCAGCACCACTCTCCCGAGTGAGCCACGGGCTGGCCCTTGATATAGCTTTGAAGTTGTAAATTTTAGTGCGATTGTTATAAAATTCATGAAACCAACCTTTTTCCCCACAATCATTGCCTTGTACCCAAAGACCCAAAATTTTTTCTTGTGCTTGGTCTAAGTTAAAGTTGTTTCTCAGACAGGGCCCTGATCTAATTGTGAGTTGTGAAATTAATTGTATTGTGATCAGCATCTTAAAAAATTACGTAGAAAATATAGAGCATTGCATGAAATAAACGTAAGAATTGTTTCGTGAAGCTTGTATCAGTTACATATTAAGTCAATCATATAATATGCCCATATCCAATCAATGAAAAAATGGCAGTTTTGTATGGTTTACTGAAAAAATGGTAGTTTTGTATGGTTTAAACTAATGTATACGTATTAATACACTGATCGCAATGTAAAGTATATTTGAGCTGTGGTCACAGTCAAAATACTTGACAGCCACTGTTTTCAGTGGATGCTCCATCAAACAGCTTTGGAAAACTCAGTTGCAACTTTTTTTTTTTTTTGAAGTTCTTACAACAAGAAAATGGAGGGGACACACCTGGGTGGGAGGGGGGAGAGGGAGGAGGGAGGGAGGTTTCAGTGATGGGACACAATAACTAACTACATTGTATATTGACAAAATAAAAATAAAAAAATAATTTAAAAAAAAGTTGAAATCTGTGATGATTTGCTGCTGCTTTAAGAGCAGGACCCAGAACCAAATCAAACAGACCTAGGCTCAAGTCCCAAGACAGCTTCTTGTTAGCTCTGTGTCCATGGGCAAATTGTCTCACCTCTCTGTGAACTAATCCCATCTATATAGTGGGGATAATCATAAGACTGATGTCATAAAATTATTGCATCAGTGAATGAATGAAATGAGGTACTGCAAGGAAATGCCTTACTACAGTGCCTGTCTTGTCCCCCTGAGCTGCCACGATGCAGGGGTGACCATGATATATAAACAGGACTCATGGCTGAGTGCAGAAGATACCCACAAAATACAAATTATTCATTGTGGAAATATGATACAGCTTCAAAGGAGACTCTATGGGAAAATGAGGAACACAAATTCTGGGAGGGGTCTGGTAAGGCTTCTGAAAAGGGATGGTATTTCAGGTGGGCCTTGAATAAAGATTGGATGTTGAAGAGAAAAGAGGTCATCCCTCCCCCCAAAACAGAGTTTTATCCAGGGCTGGAAGGGGGAGCCCTGGACTCATGGCCTCAGCCAGGCACGTGTTCAGATATATTCAATTCTGCTGGCCTGGGAGAATCCTTTCAACAGCAACTGAATGCCTCTTTATGATGGTCTCAATTTCCTGGAAGAGCTCCCCAGGCTCCAAAAACAGAGCTCCTGCACTGAGAGGGGTGAGTTGGGGACCAGGGAAGAATAGATAGTTTTGGCCTGAGATAAAAAGGAAGTGGGAGAGGAGAGAATGGGTCACCCAGCAAGTAGGATGGCCATATAATTAATCATCCAAATCTGGACTCTGGTTAGGATTAAAATAAGGTGCTATTAATAATTACATAGGACAACAGTCATAAACTGGAACATATGCCAGCCCACCTTTATAGGTGACTGTTTGCCATTGGGCCCTTACCCTCCTTGTTACCCTGACCTCCAGCTAGCCTTCTGGATCTCCTCTCCCCATTGACATACATCCATTGTGCTCCACACACTGACCCCACCTATCATGTCAATTCCTGGCTGTGCTTTTACCTGCTGAAATTTTATTCATCAGTCGAGACTGAGTTCAAATGTTACCTCCCCCAAGAATACGTTTCTATCTGTCCCCTTCCCCCACAAACACTAACTCATTCAGTCTCCCAGGAAGAATTCATCTCTTACATCTCTTAACCTCCTTAGCAGCATGTTAACACGAGCATGTCATTTGGCAGGGGTTATTCACCTAACTTGACTATCATCTCTTTGTGTGCAGGGAGGGAAGGTGGTGTGCCCGTGCAGAGCTCAGCATCAGGCAGAACTCTGAGGTAGGTGCTCTAAAAGTTTAGAGGTCGGTGCTCCAAAAGCTAGCTGAATGAATGAAGGGAAACCAGAAGGAATCTTGTTTTTTTGTTTTGTTTTGTTTTTTTAAAAGATGACCGGTAAGGGGATCTTAACCCTTGACGTGGTGTTGTCAGCACTAGCTGAATGAATGAAGGGAAACCAGAAGGAATCTTGTTTTTTTGTTTTGTTTTGTTTTTTTAAAAGATGACCGGTAAGGGGATCTTAACCCTTGACGTGGTGTTGTCAGCACCACACTCTCCCAAGTGAGCTAACAAAACATCCCTATATAAGGATTCCAACCTGTGACCTTGGTGTTTTCAGCACCACACTCTCCCAAGTGAGCCACAGGCCCGCCCTCAGAAGGAGTCTTGTGAAGCTCCAAGTGATAGAACACAGCTATCAAATTCCCTTTACATTAATTGTCACTCTTCGATTTTTAAATGTATTAATATTTCATTAATAAACCTGTTTCAAGCTCCATTTTGCCCATTGTAAGTGCTAGAGTAAATATAAAATGAATACAATTCAGTTTTCATTTTCTCAAAATATTCCAAGCAAGTAAGCAAAAAACAAAAAAATAAATAAATAAATAAATAAATAAAAGGGATGGGAAAGGGGGAGGTGGTAGCATGTTATTAGCTGTCCAGTCTCCAAGTTCCTTTTAGAACTCTGAGCAACAGGGTGGAGAGGCTGCTGGAATTTCATCCCAGCTGATGACAGAATGGAGAAGGCTGGACTGTTAGAGTGGTGTTCCTTGAACATTTTACAATGTCTTCTGGAACAAGCTCCTCTTGGACAATTGGGTTGTTGCTATCTAATATAAGTCATCACTGTAAGTCATATAAACCAGGTCTACAGGTCTTCCTCTTTTTTTTTGGTGAGGTCTTCCTCTTTATGTTGACTTCTAGAAAGCTTAGAACCAGATTTTGGTTCTTTACACATTTTTGTTGCTAAACTCAATCTTAGTTCCAAGTTTTTGTTTTTGCCCTTATATTCCCTTTTGATTAACTTATTTTACAAATTTTTATAAGATATGTATTTATATAAAACACCACATAGAAGTTTTTTTTTTTTTTAAATAAAGAAATTAAACAGAGCTGAGCAGTTGTGGAGGGAGACTCACAAGGGTGGGCCTGATAAACCTCTGAGCCCCACCTCCCAAGCCCCACTTCTTATCCCAGCTGCAATCTCACTACCTCTAGCCTTTGGCTGGTTCAAATCCCAGACTGTCCAGTGATTATTCTCTTTACCTCATAGGGGCTGTCATAAACCAGATAGTCTCTGGTTCCTGAAAATTAGACAGTGAAAAATAAATTTAAACTTTAATACTATGTTTGGGGTAATTTTTTTAAGCAGATCGGGGCATGCAAGAAAAGTGAGGTGTGAATGTTGTAAACAAGTATGCTTTTCTTTCTTTTTTCAGCATTGAAAGGTTGGTTTCTCTTTGCAGTGTTGATGCCCTTTAGCTAAAGACCACCAGGATACCTGTAGTAAAAAAAAAAAAAAGGTACAGAGCGATGAAGGGAATGCAAGTTGGTGTATAATGGAAGAATTACTGTTGTATACCAATGTTTACTAACCTTTTTTCACAGAAATAATGATGTTTGTATGGCACATCAGGGCATATTGGGAAGATCTGGATTCTAGTAGGAGGCTGCTTGAGGCTGGAGGGAACTGGACCACGGTAGGTGTATTAGTCCATTTCTGTTGCTCATAACAGAATACCCAAAACTAGGTAATTTATAAAAAAATGAAATTTATTTCTTGCAGTTTTGGAGGCTGGAAAGCCCCAGGTCCAGGGAACACATCTGGTGAGGGCCTTCATTTTGGTGGTGACTCTCTATAGCAATGCAGGGTATCACATGGCAAGAGAATGGCCTGAGCAAGGGAGAGCTCACCTGCTCACTCACTCTCCTTATAAAGCCAGCAGAACCGCCCCCATTATTCCATGAATGGATCAATCCATTCACAAGGGCACAGTCCTTACAATCTAGTCGCCTCTTATAGGCTCCACCTTTCAAATACAGAATCCGATTTCCCACTCTCTTAGCACTGGCTCTTTATTGCCCAGGTGGCACACTGACTTCCGTCAGAGTTGGTTGTATACTTATGATCGTATGATATATATTTTTTCACTTTCATCTACAGTTCTTGGCTTGTTCTAACTCTCCTGCCTTTCTGTCTTGGAGCTGGCCATGAAGAAATTCTCTGACAAACCTTACTTGATTGTAGGTCATAAGACCCCCATCCAAGAAGGGATCTCACCCCACACTCAAGAGAAAGAAATACTGCACAGAGAGGCTGGGTTTCCCCATCAAGTCTGTTAGTGTCAGATCATACCCTTTTTGTTGAGTCACATTTCTACAGTTTTCCATGCTTCAATCATACCTATGTAATGAAGC